AAAATGTTGGCACGTGTTACATAAATCCGTTCTTGGACTCATGATTTGTTAATTGCCATAACTTGCGGAACGCATCATATTTTAATAATTTCAACGTGTTGTTTTCGAGACCTGCAATAAAATCACGGTAGACCGATTTGTAACTCGTTTCAGCTGAGTAGTGCGATTGACATTTCTACCAGGACTTTGGTAATCCATGTATTTCAGCGTAATTTTCGAGAAAACTTCACAGATATAGCAACAGTGTTATTTTGGTCTTTCATCGCGGCATTCGCTTTATGTTACCATGAACGCGCGGGATTATACCATTCGTCGCCAAGTGAGTACTAGTTACCGATTTTTTTGTCGATCATCACCAAATCTTGTGTTTACAGCACAGCCACATTTTGACAAACGTTATGTTCGTAACTATTCGTTTCTACGTTTCCACTTTAGGGACTACATTAATATTAATGTGACAACATTAACACGTGTTAATATGCCCCCTGCACAACTCCAATACTAAATACAAGATTTATTTATGTGACAAAGATGCTTGTGTTAGGACGGAATAACGCGGGAGAAAATCACCTGGTCCTTTTGCATTAATAGCATTATAATTATCTAGCAAGCTAATGAAACTTTTGCCACTAATTAATAAACTCTTTTGCAAAAGTCTTTATCATCCGCATATACGTCCTATACAAGTAATGGTAATTGTTGTACCATTAGCAAGGCTGGTAGCCTTAAAAATGATTTCATGGGAATGTCAAGACTGTGCTATCTCGCAAAAGTCACACAGATTATCAAAATACCCGTTTAAGTATCTACTAACGTGTATTTTTCCGCACCACTAATACTCCCAAGAGTTAATCATTATTTTATCTCTCCAGAATGTTTAATCGTTCAAGTTCTGCTCCACTTCAAAGCATCACGATAAAAACTACACTTTTATCATCAAGTTTAAATTTCTTCATTTTTGTCAAAAACGTCTTCAGATTTTTTCTAAACTCTCTTGGGGCTTGCCATACTAGTAATCATTACAGCATGCCTCGAAGTCCTAGGAGCCGACGAACCAAGCCGGGAGTGCAGAAGCGTTGGCTGCCCACGAACGCCGTAGAATTATGAAGGCAGCCATAGAGTTCGAACTGCGAGCGGAGAGGGCTCTCATCGCCGCAGGATTCCTCACCTATAAGCGACGGTGGTGAGTATCTCACTGAGTATTTGAAGCCACAGCTTGCTGTGAACGTTTATCTCTGATCTTGGCTATTATGACATATATACTCAAATATTTTTTATTTTTTTTGATGTTATTAGCCTGAATGGTGGGGATGGCGGGGCCGACATAATTGTCGCCCTTAACAGGGTTATCCTCTCTCTGATAAGCTTGCTCCAGGGGGCGGGACTTGCTTTATCAGCTTGAGCGGAACGACCCTTATTATTACGACCCACCAACACCACCAACGCACATCCAGGCCATCATGGAGATGTTCAACGCCAGGGGAGCCTGGAGCAAAGAACCTGTTGGTTATGATGTACCCTGCTACGGGTCCCTAACCATAAGGCAAGTCTTTAAGAAGAACAGGTTAGATTAGTCAGAATACGGGGGGAAACAGATACATTATCCACGAACGCGGCCTCTTCTACAAACGTGGACTCCTCCTCTACGAACGTGGCCTCCTTTCCTCTATGAACGCGGCCTCCTCTATGAAGGCTGTTTATTTAGTGTAAAAATAATAGTCCGAACTGAACCGCAGTGGAGACCTTATTTTATATGAAAAGTATTATATAAATGTTTTACATTCATTAATCCTCGCCTATCGGTATATTAGGGACTCGACCAATCTCTCATATACAGCAAGACGGTCGATTCATTACCTGCAGACACATTCAGGCACGGTTCACTCGAAATCATTCCGCGAGGTGCGGAATGTTGGCCGATTGAATGGCCCTCCTACAAATAACAATGAGAAGTCAGACATCATCAACGGAAGCATATATAGTTAACTTGTACAGTTGTATATACATGAATGAGTAAATAAAGAATTTTGGTTGTTGCCTTAGTGCTGATTGACGACGACAATTGATTTCGCGTCTTCGAATAATCAAGCCAATCGGCATACCCCTTAAAACAAAAAAAAACCACATCAAATCGTACATAATATCCATTGTACACACGTTGACGAAAATTGATTTCACAGTATATACCATACGTCCCAATTTCTCAATATGAAGGTAATAGTCAGAAGCATATTTCTTCATGACTAGTAATGCAACTTGTTCTCACAAGGTACTGCAATGGGAAGCTTACATGGTAATGTAACTATTATATATCACTGACAGCCAAGCCGGTTGGTATTTACGTAAACTCTTGGTAGTTGTTGTAGCAGCAAGTTGTAGTTCAAAGCACATAAGGGAAACTTTAGTGGCCTACTAACAGAATAGTCTCAGATTTCGCATTGCACTCTCGCTTTACTCATATACGTATATATATATGTACTACTTA